TTGCTACAACATTTTGGGTTTAAATAAAAAAAGTTGGAAATTATTTTTGGGTTTAGCTTTTTTTAAATGTAGGAGAACTGCTATAGGGCGTCTTCGCTTTAATCCACGGGAAAATGACATTTAAAAATTAAATGTGGTTTAAACCTTGGAAAATAAATCCCGACAATTTGGTTTAGAAAGCCCACAAAGGAAAACACTAAAACATATTTATTAAAAAAAAGTTTCGGTCCTGGGCCCTTTTGGCACATTTAACATACAGGGGTTTAAAAAAGGACATTATATATATAAAAGGCGGAGATGAGATGGGGACGCACGTGCCCTGGGGAAATTTTCATAAGAACATAAGAATGGAGGAACACTGTAAAGGCCTACGGGCCCCTTGCGAGGCAGGCCCCTTATCAAAAAAAACCTCTGTCTATAATGGGGAAACCAGTAAAACATAAAAATCATGTGACTCCTGTGTTTTTTGGGGTTGGTGCTGCTTAAGGAAATCATGAAGGGCCAATGTTTTTGAAATTTTGTAGTTTCCAGTGTTCCCGTTCTATAGTGTCGGGGGACGGTAAATTAGGAGGCTTTTTAGGCACCGTGGGCGTCTGGGGGTTTGGGTTCGGTGAGAACGAGTTGTGCCCGTTCCAGTTCTTTCAAATGCCCCCTTGAGTCTCTGTGGAGGACACAGGGGGAAACCTTTACATCGTCTCTGTTAGAGGCTTTTTCGTTTGCTAAATTTCAGGCGGACGGGCAAAGTTTTCCTGCCTGTCACGCCAACTTTAAGGGGGTAAGGTACGCCTGGGGCCCTCCAAAAGGATTCAACGGGGCATTTTGAGAACTGGAACAGGCACAACTCGTTCTAAACCGAACCGGGACCTCAGACCCCGACGGTGCCTGGGAAGCCTCACTAATCACCGTCACCGACACTATGAACGAAAACACTGGAAACTAAAAAAATTTTCCCAAAAAAAAGGGGGAAATACTTTGATATTTAAAAGCAGCACCCCAACCCCAACAAAAAGGAGTCACAATTTTCCCTCGTTACTGGTCCCATCATAGACGAGGTTTTTTTTGATAAGGACCTGCCTGCAGGGGCCAGGGGCCCTTTCTAAAATTTTTCCCCCAAATTTTTTATGTTTTATGTTTTTCCTCAGGTCACGTGCTTTCCTTTCTCACTCTCCGCCCTATATATATAAAAAATTTTTTTTCTCCCTTTGTATGTTAGAAGTGATCAAGGTCCCGGGACCGAAACGTTTTCAAATTTAAATATGTTATAGTGTTTTTACGTGCCCTTTCAAAACCCGTAAATTAATGAAAATTAGGTTGTGTTACAAATGTTTTTTGTAAAAATTTAAACCTTTTTATTTTTTTTTGTTTTTTTTTTTTCATGCGAGCATGTAAAACATTTTTGGAACACAGCCCCCAACCCTTTTTGCTGAAACCCCAATGTTTTGGGTTTAACCGTAATGAACATGGGGTACTACACTACAACTTTTTTCTTCCTTCAGAAAACTAAATTATCAAGAAATTTGGAAAGCGTGTTGCTAAAGCAATTGGGGCAAAAAGTGTTTTTTTTGCCTCAGATAAAAGACCCCTTTTGATTGAACAAGCTGACTCAAGCATTTAAAAAAATGAAAGTAAGTGTAAACCAGTGTTTTTCAAGGAAAATTCAAAGGTGTGTTTAAAAAAAATTTCCAGTTTTTTTTAAAAAACCATATGCCCGACGTTTTCCACTTGGGAAAAGTTTAGCATATTTTTGGGGAAATTATTTTAAAAAAACCCATGATGGAAAAAAAAAAAGGGGATAAATGCCCGTATAATGATCTTTTTGTGGGCTTGAAAAAAGGCCCCCCTGGGGGTAGGGAAAAAAAAATTTTCCCGTAAGGATCTCATTTTTCTGCATTTCTTTTTTTTTTTTTGTTTTCTATCATTTTTAACTAGGATAAACCCCATCTGAGAAGGATGTTTTTTTTTACAAAACATGTTTTTTCCCCCTAAAAAGGTATCCTATGTTCTTCATACCTCCACAAATTTCTTCAAAAATAAAAAAATAAAATTCAATTTCATATTTTATAGTTTTGTCCTTATTTTTTTTTTTCTCTCTAATTTTTTTTTTTTTGTTTTAAATTTGGCCCCCTAAAAAATGCTTGGAAAGAAAAAAAACTTGCTAAGGGAAGTTAAATTCTTTCCAAATCTTGTTTTTTAGTGACTCCAAGTAGCGATGTCACCACTTGATAACCAACATCATATGCTATCAATAGTGCTTAGCAACACTACACTTTCTAGTTTCTGTAGTAATGTTACTTTCTGTCAGATAATGTATTTCCTATCCTCTTTATTGATACACATGATTACCTAATACACTACATTCATTACAAACTGTCTGTACTTAATGTTCAAAATACCTTTTACATGTTTATCTTACAACAATCAATGGAGTACAGATTATTATTTTCATAGGAAGCACTCAGTCCACCAGGTTGTACAACTTCTGAGGTATGGGAGGTAATCAGGCACAAATGTGAAGAACAAGTATAGAATTACACCCCTAGGGAAGGCATGATACTGGCTCAGTGGGCATCTCGGCTGGCAAAAATACATCCTTACTACGCTTCATCTCATCCTCCTGAAGCTGCCCATTTCTATTACAAGGCAAATTAAATAATAGGTTCATAATGAAAAAGGTTCTTGTTGAAAATGGTATAAAATAATGACAAGTTGAAGATTAAGACACACGTGCAGCAGTTGGGTATCTTTATTGACAAGTTGAAGATTAAGACACACGTGCAGCAGTTGGGTATCTTTATTGACAAAATATTTCGCCTTCACAGTTGGCTTCTTCATCAGATTTGGAGGAGCAGGTGCAGTACTAAAATTTTAGATGATGTAATCAGTCCATCAACCTTAGAAAAAAAAGCATTTGAGGTGGTCATTCCCTTCAGCCTGAAAAAAGAGCTCAGCTGCATGATCCTGAAGATATGAAGCTGAAGCATGAGGACAGATTCTTAAATACCATTGAAGGTGAGGTGGAAGGTCTCGAAGACATTGTAGGGGGAGGGGATTCACTAATGGAAGTAAGAAAGCAGGTCCTTCTGGAATCCAACCCTTCTCACTCATAAAATGGAGATACGTAATGAAGAATGGAAAGTGTCTTCTGCACTAAGATACCTTTGTGCTGCAGTGTGTGATAGTATTGTTGAAAATGGTAAAAAATACCAACAAGTTGAAGATTAAGACACATGTGCAGCAGTTGGGTATCTTATTGATGAACCGTTTCACCTACACAGTAGGCTTCTTCAGTCAAATTTGGAGGGAGCAGGTGCATACTGAAATATAGATGATGTAATCAGTCCATCAACTGCAGCACAAAGGTATCTTGGTACAGAGGACATCTTCCATTCTTCATTATGTATCTACTAGTTTATGAGTGAGAAGAGTTGGATTCCAGATGGACATGCCTTCTTACTTCCACTAGTGAATCCTGTCCCCTACAATGTCTTTCGAGGTCTTCCACCCACTTCGACAGTATAAGAAGTCCGTCCTCATGCTTCAGCTTCATGTCATTCCTATCATGGAGCTGTACATCATCTCCAGGCTGTAGGATGACCACATCAAATGCTTTTCCTCTCCAAGGTTGATGGACAGAATATATCATCTTTATTTCACTACTGCACTGCCTCCCTCTTGAAATTTGACTGAAGAACCTACTTTGTAGGAGAAACATTCAACAATAAAGATACTCCCAACTGTTGCACAAGGGTTCATAGGCAAAAGAAAAGAGTATCAAGTACCAAAACAACCAAGACTGACACTAAATGTACCAGATTTAGCTTGATTCAGACATATTGAAGACAAAGATTAAGACCTGTTTTTTTTGTTGTTGTTGTTGCTGTGACAACCTTATAAACTAAAATTAATTTTGCTTAGAAGAACATTAGCCTCAACAACAAAAATAATGATAATGCCAGCTATTTATTACTTGAAAACTATTCTTCTTTTGATAAAGAAACTACACAAAATATTAAAGGAAAATTTATTCTGTGCTGCATAAAAATTCACATGAATTATGAAAGATAAAAATAAAGGTACTATGGTCATAAGAGCAGAACATCATATGTCTGAAGACCTACTGTATTAAGATTTATATGTGTAGATATTAGTAGTAGGTTGGTAGACAGCAACCACCCAGGGAGGTACTACCGTCCTACCAAGTGAGTGTAAAACGAAGCCTGTGATTGTTTTACATGATGGTAGGATTGCTGATGTCTTTTGTCTGTCTCATAAATATGCAAGATTACAGGCATGTCTTGCTACTTCTACTTACACTTAGGTCACACTACACATACATGTACACATTTATTTATACACACTCATCTGAGTTTTCTTTGATTTTATCTTAATAGTTCTTGGTCTTATTAATTTTCCTTTTATATCCATGGGGAGCCTTTGAACCAAGTGAGAGAGTAATTGTGGTAGGGGACTT